TTTGAGGAAGAAGCCATGGTGAAGACTAAGTTGAGTCGCTAAGTGACTCAACTTAGTCTTCACCATGGCTTCTTCGTCAAAATTTTACTTCTTGGTAGCCCTGTTGTTTTCACTGATAACAGATGGGTGGTGACTTCTGAAAAGATTTTAATGTTTGTTTACTTCTTTTGTATGCAGAGAGTTCTAATCATACAATAAGGAGATGTGGATTTTCTTTACGACTTTGTGCCTTGCAGGGCTGCGATTGGCTCAGAATTTAGCTAAGGCGGCATTCGATCTGATTAAGGTAAATAAAACTCATGGAAAATGTGTTAATTAATATAAGTTCGATCGATTCAACAGCATGCGAAATATCCTGCTAATGAGATAATTGTAAACAGTGTTATAATTGCGCTTTTAGGTTTTTAGAATTTTTTGACTACATGATGATCGACTATAGGAATAGGTGTAATTGTTATTCTCAGAAGATTAAAATAGTAATTTTTTTAAGCCTTACTTTGGCGTCACTGAAGCCAGTAGACATGGAATAAAGGATGTGGCTTGAAGTAATTAATGAGGTGTCTGAAAAAGGAACAGGTTCAAAGCTTGTTCTCCGCACGTCAAGTTTAAATCGAGAAAAAGTTCCGTGCTTTTGTCGATGCTCTGTTACTAGGAAGAGAAAGTCATTTTATTTGTGGACACAGAATTCCTATTTATATACTTTATTTTCAAATTCTGATAACTTTATCAACCTTCATTAGTTCGAGATTATTAGCCCCCTTTGCTTCTCTCTCAATTCAAATTAAGCCGGTGAAACACCTTGCAGATGAATAGAAATTGGGAAACAACGTCAGCTACTTCGCCTTTTTTTATTTCTCTAAGCTAAGGAGAAAATTATCTTTCACAAACAAAGGTCTGGTCTCTCATACGAGCTATTATTTCGGCATCTATTTTAGTAAGAGAATCAATAGCAGTCTTTTTCATACAAGTGTGTTACTTGAAGTAAATAATTGTGTTCTCTTTGTTAGCTGTTAAGCCTCCTTTACTTTGTTCAAAGCTTTCTACGTGTGAATAAAACGTTTGGGTCACTTTTGATAGATTGGAATGCAGTCCCTGCAGCACAGCAGCTTAACTTTGTTGTAACCGCTGGCTAAAGAAGAGAAGATCGATGGCTCCCTTAAAATTTTAAGTGTAATGTAAACATTTAAACTCAGCCATAACTGTGTTAATCAAATACGAAATTTTTGATTTGTTCAAACCTTTCACTCTCATTGCGCGCCTCTCAAAATGCTTAAGTCGGAAACTTATTTTTATCATTAATTATTTTGGGTTATAAATGCTCGTAGATCTTCCTTAGCTGAAAGATTATGGGGGATGAAGCCAGTGGAAGCGACAGTGATATAAGTTTATCAGTCATATATTTACGTGCAGTTCTTCTCGCAAAGATGTGTAAACGGCTACATAGACTCGTTCATAGACTTACCTTAAAAAAATAAAACAAAACAAAGGGAAACAAACAAAAGTTGAAGAAGTCGCTGTCAAATTCATAACGGTCAGTGTTGGAAATTTACATTTTCAAGCAAAGAAATATTCTACGGTTTTAGAAGCTACGAGAACCTGCAAGCAGATAACCAAGAGTGCAAGCACCCTAGGTGAAATGATTTTGGGTCTTCCCGAGAGACGAGATGATAATAGATAAGGCAACAAGACAGTAACGCCGGTAAATTATTTAATAATTTGTGTTACTTTTCTTTTTATATTTAAGGGGGTCATATGTATCAAAGCGCTATTTAAATAAGGCAACGTGCCATGTTCAATAGGCTCCTATGTTCTTGGTCTAATTCGTCCTTAACTTGCCCCGTGCGCTCGAACTGCTAATTTGACCCTGGAAAAAGATTTGACTTTCAAAGAAGATCTGAGTATCTAATAAATTCTCTCACGTCATGTTAATAAGGAGAGGACTGAGGGGAGGATACACATCTACCTACACGCATTTATATATGAATCCTCTCATTACGTGCAGTTATTTGCTTCAAATTTAGTCTGGACCACTCAAGCACAGTTCACAGCTTGTTCAAAACAATTTTGTATCTATAGCTGATTGTATAATTTTTTTCAGAAATCTTTTAGTAACACTGGTAAATTACTTCAATCGTGCCAAAGCGGACCAATCCTTGGGACTTATAAGATGATCACCATTCAGCCAGACAGGTATCTCGCTTGGGCCAATAATTTGCAATTACAATTAGCGTTAAAATAATGGAAGTAATTATTATGATGAGAAATAAAATTTGTTAAATTCGTGATAGGTGTCTACTTAGATAGCAGTTCATAAATCGTCTTTTTACGTGGAGTTATTTTCCTCAACGTCAGTCTGCACTACAGTGGTGCAGATCAAAAGTTGGTGGGAGGAAAAGTTTGTATAAATGGTGGGATCCAGAGTTTTCTACTTAAATCTGAACTGATCGGTAGCAACAGCCTCTACTTTTATGTTTAAAGTAGATCTTCCTGTTAAATTCCCCATCTTCCATTACGGGAGTAGCACAAGTTAACCCTTTAACCTCTAAGATCTGATTGTTTATTCTCCCTTTAAGGTGTTTCACATTTCCTTATAAATTAGCTTGAAGAGTTTGATGTTAGATCAGGTAAACAACTTCTTCCTGATAAGTTTGGGTATTCTCATTACCTGGATAATGAATGGATTTTGTTGGGAGGAGTAACAGGTTAATCGCCTCTGGGAGTCAAAGGGTTAACCAGCGCAGGTTGGCTTTACCACATTTATAACTATCAACGCAGGTTGTTGGAGTTCTAGTTCCTACAGCTGTCACGAAACGGTACCATCCCTCGGAGAGTTGTGAGACACAGAACACTGAACCATTTAGTGGTGTGTCGTCAATGGTATTTTTTTTGTCGTCACTCTGCTTCATAACACGGATCGGATACAAATTTAAGTATTAATTTTAAAATAATTGTAATTATTGCTTTTAAGAATAAATATTTTTAACGTTTTTCAAGTCTGATAGTTTATTACTGCCCGGGATATATTGTTAACGAGTCGATTGTATCGTTTAATTATGTCTCAGAGATACCAGTTCTGTGGGATTTCTTGAAAAGATCTTTTCTATCAAATAATTGACTAAAGGGAGAATTGATCAACGAACCTGTTTCTCTCAGAAATTCGTCGTCATAAATTTTAGAGGAAAGCTCATTTAAAAAGTCGAGAGTCCAATTAAACCTAGATAATATTGATATATTTAAAAAGTACCAGATGGCGATTTATGTCTCACTAAAGGAAAGAGATATCTCAACAAATCATCCTCTCTCTTCCTAAAGTTCGGAAACCCTTCCGAAGATTATCGATTATTCACTCGAAGGAATATGATGAACATTGCACTTCAACAACACTAGCGACAGTACCTTTAACAACAACAAAAAGATAAAGTGAAATCGGTTTTGTTTACTGACATCTGGAAAGTGATAATTCATTGTCTCATGTAACCTTAAACTTATTACATGTAGAGAATTTGAATAGCAGGCGATAAGAAGGTTTAGCCTTTGAGAAAGTCAATTTAGATTTTCTAAAGTGCGGCAAAGACATGCAAACCTCTGAAAACTTAGACGTGATATTTGTCTCAGGCTCATTGTCATTTATAACTAAAGCAACCAGAGTAACAGATTACACCTTCTCTGTTACCGGTTGCATACATGCAAATAAGCCTAAAAAGATTTTTAAATTAGGTTTTAACTGGTCGTCATTTCGGGCCTCTTTCTGGTGTTGTTTAGTTTTTCGTTAGAATGGCTTGTAGAAGAGCTACTAGCATAGACAGCATTTTCTAATAGCAACACGTTTTCCTACAAGATTCACTTGTTAAGGTATGATTTAATCAAAATAAGGAATACTATACTCCTACAATTTTAAACTATTTTATTAAACAACTTGTAATAATTCTTTCTCATGACTTACTCCTATACGCAATACAATAATTGTCATTTAAAAACTTACTTAAGCTCACTATAAACTATAACTTTGCTCTCTACTGATACCAAAGACTCACCCTTGCCTCCAAATCTCCTCAAAATACACAATCTTTGAAGTATATCACAGTACGGAGCTATCTTTTGGTAGAGCTTCCTAGATAGTTGATCTTTTCCGACAAAAAAAAAATACTACTCCTAACTGACTGAGTCCTTATGTACATTCACAACTCATTTCAAAACGAATATAAGCGACCCTCTCAGCTATGAACACCACTGAAGTAGTAGTTGAAATAAGACCTGAAAAAAAATCAGGCCCGCACGGGATTTGAACCTATGACCTCTACGATACCGGTGCAGCGCTCTATCAACAACTGAGCCAACAGGCCAACTGGAAGGAAGATCTCTTATATTTGTTTCTTCACCGCAGTGCGCATATATGATTTTCATATATTTACAGTCAGTACTTCAAAACATTCCGGAATTCGAAGCTTACAACACAACTATTGTGGTAGAAATATATAATAATTACATAGCCTAATAGAATGTTCTAGTTTTCCATACTACGTCATCAGAAAGTTTGAGCATCAATGTAACAGTGACTAACAATTATGCAATTCTAGAAATTATTTACAGTCTCTATCAACAACACACCTAAGCTGCTTTAGTTTCTAACGACCTGAGTAAACATCAAGAGTTCTTAAAACTTACATAGTGAAGCACCTCGATTGGAATAGATAGAGATGATATTAAGATTCTTTGGAAGCTCACAAATGCCCATATATAGTTGTTGACATTAGCTGGGGGAGGGGCGGGGGGGGGGAGTCTGTTCTAATACTCGGATAAACAACTATTGTTCAGTCGACTCTGATGATGATTTCCGCTGAGGTTATAGAAACGTCAGTCACTATTACTGACTACTTGCTGTCACAACTTCTCAGGAGTACTCTTACTTGGAAGATCAAACTAAGCAGTCCAAAGGTACTCTTGTGTTGAAACTACTCACTGTTTAACCAGAAAATAATTATAAAAAGTGGATCATATGAAATTTTTTAAGTCCCTGTTATCATTGATGTACATGTTCGTGCCAATAAATCGATTTGTGAATCCTTTTACTTTGCAGAATGACTTGCTTATAGCATTCAGTCTGTGCCACAGTAGCGCAGATCACAAGCAGGTACCTTTAGTAGTTTGTAAATAAAGTAGGATCCGCAGTCTTTCACTTTTATTTCCTTTGATTTCTTGCAACAATCTCCACCTCTGGTAAAGCAGACCTCTGAAGAAACCTCACCATCTGCCAATGTGGGGTGACCACCTTTTAGCCAGCCTGAGAAGACCGCACCACATCTATTACCCGGTACGCACTGGGTTGGCATTTTTGTTCCTGCATCTCCCACAAAACGATACCATTCCCCAAATATTAAGGATGAGGAATCGTCGTCACATTTTTCTCCACCGTGAGGTGTGATGTAAGTGCTCTTTCTGTCAGCCTCGCTCAGGTTTCTGTAATTATGGCACGGATCGGCTAAAAAGTTGAATTTCGGTTAACGCGATGTTTGATATATTTTTCTTTATAAGAAAGCTTAAGGAAAAAAAATCATCATACAAACTGCGGTGTTTCAGAAGGATTTCCCGCCCTAAGAAAATTCGTAACAGCACGCGCTTAATATGACGATAATTTTTTACATGTGTTTGATATCGCCAATCAGCTGTGTCAGGTTAATAAATGAATGGAAAAGCGTTGACCGTTCTCGATCCAGGGTCGCTTGTCGAGATTTTATCGGATTAATGGCTGCTTAAAGCACAGAAAAAATCGTATTCGTAACAGACAGTGTCGTTCAAAATTCCTAGAGGCGGAAGTAAAACAAAATACGAAAACAAAAACCGAAAGTTACGTACTTGACCTAAGTAATGGTATTTCTTGCGGCTGAAAACGAAAATCGACAACTGAGAGATTTGCCACAGGCCGATTTTGGCCGTGTACATGAAAATATTTCTTTTGACGATAAGGAAAAAGTCAACAACTGAGAATTTTGTGAAAAGAAAGTTACGCCCATTATCTGTTTCTGTAATGGTTCGACGCATTTTTTCATCTTGAGCTTTATCACGGACGTGCTTTACGATTTTTTTTTCGGGGGTCGTGAAACCTCAATTTTCATTTTATGGAAAAGTAGGCTTTTCTTCTCAGTGAAGGCCTATTATGTCTATATGATAAACAAAATAATACATGGTTGCTTGCAGTCATGGAGCTTACTTCGTTGAGAACCGATTACTGCTTAAGCAATAGAGAATGTTTTTCTTGTGTTTACATACGCTCATCTAAACATGAAAGGAGGTTAAGAGAATTTGAGAAAGTTATGCAAACCTGACATGCAGCGTAAATTTCGAGAAATTTCCCAGCTTGCCGAGCTCGAGTCTTTAAATGAGAGAATGTAAACGCGGGAAAAAGTACCCTATATTATTTAAACATATCTCTCCAAGAACATTACAGAAGAAGTTAAATGTTGTTTATTAATAACTTATCTATTTCTCAATACACGCTCTGGAGGATAGTATTTCCTAATAGCCAATCAAATCGTGTGCCTGACAACACATAAACCAATCAAAATTCGCGTTAAAAAAGTTCAAGTTGAAACTTGTGGCAATTTCAGCTTTGAAATATCGTAAATTTTACAGAAAATACCGAAAGCGTTTGAAATATACGAAACCTTAAGGAAAGAACTTCAAGAGGAGGAGTTTAATAAAGTTGAAAATGAATTTCACTGTTATTTATCGGTTTTTTTAAATTGACGAAACCTTGCCCGATTTAACAGCCCTTAAACATGATTGAGAACTGGGGAAGTTGAATCGCTCATCTTCCCTTGTCAATTTTTGCTGGTTAGTACAGTTTTGCTCGAGCCTTTTCCAGCAACTGACAAAACCTTTTTCCTTCTGTTTAAGTCACTCTTAGTCTTGCATTAAGTGTTGTTGGATTTCTACATACAAAAGTCTCCAATTCAGACTTCATACTTTGCTCGTAGCTTCGTCGGCTAGATTAAAATTTGCCTACGTTTCCCTTATTCTCTTTGCCTGCTTCCTAATTTTGGGAAAATATTCTTCCATTAATTACTATTGAAATGAACAAAACAACTGAATCTTGTGATTCCTCAGTATTGCACTGGGCATCCTGTACTGAGCATAAAAATCACGTAATCGGGCGAATAAGCGCGCTTGTATTCCGAGAACACGGTGTTGCTTTTCAATAAATGGACCAAGCAAAGAGTTACGATGCTCTTCAGCTCTTGAGCACGGTGACCTCTATTTTTCATTGCATAATATTGGTGTACAAATTTTATCCCCTTTATATTGGATGAATGAAAAAAAATCATCGAAGGCAAAAAAAGATATGGCTAAAAGCGTGCACAAAGCCCGTTATTTGATGATGAAAATTATGACCTGGAAAACAACGAGTCGAGGAACGTTTCGAGTCGACGTCTCAAAATTACGTGATTTTTTTCACAAATTATATATTAAATTCTTCCCTACGCTCGAGACTTTGTACCTGTCAATTTTTTTAAATTTTTACTTTAAAAACTATAATTGCTTCCAGCTATCGAAAAATGTGCCGTGAAATGAGGCGCGTGAAAATGCACTAGTAGAGGTCGTAGAGGCAGAAGTGGGGTAAGTTTGGCCCGTCATTTCTCTCAAACAAGCAAGGTGACCTATCTTTTTGGTTATATTTTTCGAAACAGACATTGGCAAGGAACATTTAAGGAAAGACTGAAAAAATTGTCGGATAACTTTTTTTTTTCTGAGGAATCACCTTAATAGGTCCGAATGGGAAAATCTTAACCGCGGTCAACATCGATTTTAACCAATCAAATTATTCTGTTTGATTGCTTTCAATCCTTTCGAGACACAGCCTCATAATGATTCTATTTATAAGATCAATTATACATCAACTAGAGAAAATAAGGGGATGATTGTTTTCTCTCCTGGAGAACAAAAACGATGCACATCAAGTCTACAAATGTGATACAAAAAAAATCAAAAAATCAAATCTATATTTTGAACATTGAGTGCGATAGTTGTCGTTAGAGAGTTGTTGGTCGCTATTTACTATAGATCTGAAGCTGATCAACGAAAATGTTCAGCATTTTGTCCTTGCTTTCAAGTGGGATCAAGGATTTTCATTTTGTACCATTGGTCAAAAATATTAAGGCAAGGGTAACTACTTTATCAAAACAAACAAATCAGCCGACTAAGAAGGAACGTACAAATTAAACAAACAAACAGACGAAAGCAAACTAACATTTCTCAACGTTATAGCGAGGCAATTACCTGTGCAGCTCCGTCCATCTCCGTTAAATCCAAATAAACAGGTGCACACAAAGGATCCATTTGTGTTTTGACAAGTAGCGTTCAGGTGACAATCGTGAGTATTTTTTTGGCATTCATCAATATCTAAAAAAATGGGAAAGAAAAGAAAAATTCTACAACGGAAGTGGTTCCACGAGTCGGATAACACATTCATTTTTAACTTTTATAAGATGAAAAAGCATTACGTTAGCTATCATTGTGATAAATGAATTGTTAATTTAAACTAAACCAAAACTTCCACTGCAGCGGAATCTCTCTCTGGCCACCATTCCAAACTGTAGCCGGATATCAGTCGTCAGAGATCGGCCTTGGTAGCATTCCGTTGTAATACGCACTCCAAGGCCAAACGTGATATATAAATATGGCGGTTTAAATACTCCAGGATATATTGTGTTCTTATCGGTCTATTCTGTAATTAACCTTTTTCGCAATGTTCTCCTTCGAATCCAGGAGGGCACGAGCATCGATATCCCTTGATTGTGAAACCGGACTGACAAGTTGCATTATTTTGACAAGGTGGGTTTTTACCGCACGCGTTCTGAAAAGAAAAAAGAAAAAAAAAATAAAGAAGGAAGATCGATGTATTGAATAATTGATACATGAATGAACGAACTTAAGTTTTGTTAAACGTCGGTTGTTTTCCACGATTCATCACCGAGTTGCTGAATTTGAATTATACCTTATATTTTACCTTTGAGCCTCGATAATAAAAATCAGCATCAGTCATCAGGTCAGTATCATTTTCAAGATGAGTGGCGTTATTCAGTTCACAGATATAAGCGATTCCTCCAGTCTCTGGCTCTTTTTTGAAGTTAGCACTGACGCAGTTGTCGTTCATGTAGCAAAAAAGCTCACAGTGATCCAAGTCTTTGACGTATTTAGTTTCGATTTTATGGTTCATCAAACGTCTTTTAGCAAAGAAGAAGTAATCTGGAAACAGCATTGTGCGATCTCGCTCTGAAATAAAGCAATCAAAATA